CTGCCACCTTTCCCCCCATCTTGGACGAGCCGCGGTGGTCCACTGAGCCAGCGGTTGGGGGTTGGCGACGCTTTGGCATTCTGTTTAGCACGCTGATGGTTGAGAACATGCTGCGGTGCCTTCGAGCCACAATCTCGACGGGTCGACCTGAAGGGAAAGTTGTCGAAAACGCAGCTCGGGTTGGCTTTGGGCCGCCTGCCACGGAGGCCCATTGCCGCCTCGATTCATGAAAACATTGGGATGGCTCGGTCCAGCTGGCGCCACTTTCAAGTGCGCTGGACCAAAGGTTCGCAAATCAGCTCGAAACCTTCAGCCAAAATTGCTACGGAGGAAGAGGAGGAGGAGGAGAAAGAGGAGGAGGAGGAGGAGGAGGAGGAGGAGGAGGAGGAGGGGAGGAGGAGAAAGAGGAGGAGAAGAAGGAGGAAGGAGGAGGTGCAGGAGGAAGTGGAGGAGGAGGAGGAGGAGGAGGAGGAGGAGGAGGGAGGAGGAAGAGGAGGAGGAGGAGGGCTGTCTGTCTCCTCGGGGGCGGGCGTGGGGATGCGAAAGGCGACGGCGAAGGCCCCCAGCGGGGTCGAGGTCACAACCCCCGGACCCCCCCTGGGACCCCCCCCCCTCTCCTCCTCCTCCTCCTCGTCCTCCTCCTCCTCCCTTTCTTCCTCCTCCTCCTCCTCCTTCTCCTCCTCCTGGGCCCGGGGCCAGGGCCAGGGCCCTGGCGCTGGGGTTGGGGCCGGGTCTGGGGCCAGGCCCGGGGACAGGGCCAGGGCCAGGGGCGATCGGGTCAGGTCCCAACGACCAGACGGTCCAGATCCCAGTCGGTGAGTAAGCCGGAACGGTAAAGCTTTGTTCTTGTATGATCGTCTTGGCAATGACAGCATAATAGTTTCCTTTAAACCGTTAAGGGAATTCACTCGGTTTTCATAGTGCACAGTTGAGATCTAGACCCTGTCACTGCGCTATGATATGCGAGGTCTAAGTACTCCAGGAGGGCCCTATATAGGCCCAAGGCATACAAGACGTCAGTGCATACGAACGTATACGAAACGCATACGAAACGTATATCAAACGTATACGGGACGCATGGGGCGCGCATTCGAAAGTTTACAGAAACGAATTCGGCACGTACGCGGAACGTTACAGAATCGCATGCGGAACGTATGCCCGACGTACGCGAAACGTATATGCAGCGTTTATGCCACGTGTATGATGGTAAACACCCCTCAGGAATCCTCACACATCCTATACGAATCCGTCAGGAATCCTTCAGGAATCCTTCAGGAATCCTTCAGGAATCCTCAGGAATCCCCCAGGAATTCTGAGGGGAATCCTGGGGGGAATCCCTCGTAAATCTTTCGGGGCCCTTCAGAAATCTCGGAGAATCCACAGGAGTCCATCAGGCATCCTTCAGGAATCTATTAGGAAGCTGTACGACGCCTTTTTAGGAACTCCCTAGGTATCCCTGCAGGAATTTAGCGCCGCAGGAACTGGCCCGAGATGGCTCACGGCACCCTTCGCTCATGGGAACCTTGGCGTTAAGAGGTTGTTGCGCCACCGCTCTTTGTTGGGAGCCCTGGTGTTCAGAGACTTCTACGTTGCCGTTCGCTCGTGGGTGTGCCGCGTGGGCTTTTGGGGCGCCACGAGGGCCCGATGACGGGCCAAGAGGGTCACCAGAGATTCCCAAGACGGTGGAAAAAGGGCCCCGAGTCGTCGAACGATCGGTCCAAGACGCCCAAGATGGCCCCCAGACGACCCAAGATGCCCCCAAGACGCCCCAAGAGGTATTCAAGAAACCTTCCGAGAGGGCCCCAAGAGACAAAACACACCTATATTGTTTATAAGTTTTTGAAATGTTGCTCGCTCTTGGGAGTCTTGGTGTGAAGAATTTGTTACGCCACTGGTGAGGTCGTCGGAACCATGGTGCAATTTGTCGCCGCGGTTGGTCGGTCGGAATACGCAGAAAGGGGGGAGCCACGAGGGGAATGAAGGGAGTACGTGGGGGCCGCGGTCGGGCAGGGGGAGGCCGCGGTCGGCCGGTCGGTCGGAGTTAAGCAGAGGGGGGGCCACCGGGGGTTGAAGGGGGGGAACACGGGGGGCCACGGTGGGGCAAGGGGGGGGGGCACGGCCGGTCGGTCGCAACGGTAAGCAGAAGGGGGGGGGCGGAGAGGCTAAGGGTCGGCGGGGCAACGGGGGGGGGGCACGGTCGGTCGGTCGGTCGGAAGAAGCAGGCGGGGGCCACGTGGCTGAAGGGGCGGCGGGGGGGAGCAGGGAGACGGGGCGCGGTCGGTCGGTCGGTCGGGATCAGCAGACGGTGGCCACGGGGCGGAGGGGTGCGGGGAGGAGCAGGGGACGAGAGGGCACGGTCGGGCAAGGAGGTGGCACGGTCGGTCGGTCGGTCGGTATAATAAGCAGACGCGGTGGCCACCGGGCGGACGGGTGCTGGGAAGAAGGGGGGCGGGAGGGCACGGTCGGGCAAGGGGGGGCATTGTCAGTCGGTCGGTCGGAATAAGCAAACGGGTGCCATGGGGCGGAGGGGCGCGGGGGGGGGGGGGGCACGGTCGGTCGGTCGGTCGGAAGAAGCGAACAGGGGCCACGTGGCGGAGGGGTGCGGGGGGGAGCAGGGGGACGGGAGGGCACGGTCGGGCAAGGGGGTGCACGGTCGGTCGGTCGGGATATGCAGGCAGGGGCCACGGGGCGGATGGGGCGCTGGTGAGCCCATTTGGGCACACCCCTCACACGTTTCGTGGCCCCATAGAGAGTTCCACCGAAAACGGTACTCACAACAGCGGAATTCGGGACTGCATATAGTTGGATCCTTCGTCAGGCAAATTGTTGTTTGTGTTGTAGTCTGCAACGGGAGTTCGGCTGAGTCGTGCAACCATGCAATGCACGCGGGTCGTCGCATCGGGCTCGCCGTTTTTTTCACTTGAAGCTTTGACGGGTGTTTTCTATTTGTCCCCCCTGCTGCCTGGCCCTTGACACCGTAAGTTGATATTCAGTAGCGTCATAAGCGCTATTTCGTGGACGACAGTAGGCTATCTCGGATACAGGGCATGATCCTCGGATGTTTGGCCATCGGCAGGTCGGAGCGGAAATGATACGTGTCGCCACCAGGACGCCATCGCTACCCATGATCATTCAACCTATTCCTTATGCCATCGTCCCAATTCCTTGCTCTGGCTCCTCAGCCCCGTGCTCCTCCCTCTATCTCGTTCGCATCTTTCACCTCGCTCCTGAAGCTGGGTGGTTCATGGCCAGTCTGGCTCAACACCGAGCCGCGCTGCCGATTCATCGGCTATGCTGCCAGTAGCAATTGTGTGAGCTCTGTTTTGCAAAACCAACCACTTTCATGCCAGATGGCGACGTGCGCTCCAGCGAAGTATGGCATCATCCTGTTGCTGGTTATGGCGCTTCCAGGTCGAGCTGCACGTGCGACCGCCTCGGATACCGACGCTGAGGAAGCTCATGTGGATCACTCTGTGTTCGTATTCGGGGAGCAGGAACACACGTTCGTTAGCTTCAACGATACGTTGTCGAAGCTGGATGCCCAAGTCGATACTCGGGGGGGGGGCATCACACGCAAAAGCGGCCAAGCCCAAGGGGGCCTGGCGCACACCAGTGCCCAGCAGACAGACGAAAGGCGTGGAAGAGGTCACCAGCCAAGTCGAGCTGAAACCTGGTCACCGCAAAATCGAGCTGAATCCTGGCCATGCAGGCATCCAATTCAATGTCAATGGGCGCGTCAAGTACGTGAGGCCTGGCCAACAGGCAGACCTACAAGGCGTGCAAGTCGGGGACAGAGCAGTCACCATCGCAGGCAAGCCATTCTCAGCGGGGCTGTACGACCTCGAGCGCAGAGGCAGCACGCCGTACACAATCGTATTCGAGGTCAAGACGGCGCCATCGACATTGCACTTGATTCTGACATGGGTACATATCGTATCCACGTGCCTGCGGCAACCCAGCCACCGTGCCAGCGCAGTCATTATTCTTATCTTTCCCACTCCAGTCCTCCTTCTCGTGTTTATTATTCTCCTCCTCCGCCGCCTCCTCCTCCACCTCTTCTTCCTCCTCGTTCTCCTCCTTCTCCTCCTCCTCCCCCCTCCTCCTTCATCTTTCGTGAAGGCATCCTGAGCCTTCTTGGGGACTTCTTTGAGGCCTCTCTGGGCCTTCTTTGCGAGCCTCTATTGGGGCCTGCTGGGGCCCCCGTTGAGGGCCCGCTGGGGCTCCGTTGGGCCGTCGACGAGCCGTGGCGTTCTCGGGCCCTTCTGGGCAGGACTGGACCTAAACGTTGTTTTGCTGGACTTCGGGCTTCGTTTTGTTTTTCGTTTTGGCACAAATGGCCCAGGGGAACAGGCAGACAACTCGAAAAACAAATCTGACAACGAAACGAAACGCACCGTTTAGGTCCAGCCTTGCTCCTGGGGTCGCCTTGGGGTCCTCTTCGGGGCCGTGCTGGGGAATTTCGGGGTCTTCCAGGAGATTCCTAAAAACTTTCCTGAGGCGGTCTGCAGCCGAAAAGCATCGGACAGCAACAATCATATGCCTCGTTGGAGGCCCCTTTGGGCGTCGCTGCGAAGCTTTTTGGGACCTCTGGGGGGATCTTGGGGATATTTTGGCGCCTCCGCGGGATCGTGGAACCTTTTGGGTTGATCCCATGGGTTGATCCCCGGGCATCTCCCAGCGGTCAACAGCCGTCTTGGAGCCGTCTGTACTCCGAAAAGGGCGCCAGAGAGCTAGGGTGGCGATCTTTTGGGGCTGCCTGCCGCGAGGATGTGGGGTCTTGAAACAGTGCAGAGACCCTGCCCGACAACTGAGAGGCATCCTGACGCTCCGCACCGTGCAGGCACGCTGGCGGGTCCGACTGGGCAGTGCTCGTAGACGTGCTCGGACGTGTCGTCCACTCGCGAGTGTCAAGTGATGAGGGTGCGCGCAGAGGTCCGCAGCTGTGTTTGGCCAGCCCTGTGGCCCTGGGCTTCTTGGCTGCGTCGACCTCGTTGACATTGATGCAGAGTCCGTGGTCAGCAATGATGCTGAGAAGCTCGTGGGCTGGGCTCCTTTTCGGTTTCTTGGCTTCGCTTCTCCGCCTCGGGGTAGGCCTGGGCATTTGGCGTGTCCGCGGAGCCGGTCCAGATGGTCCTTCCCCTCAGCCAGCCAAGATGGGACTCCCGATGAACGTCGCGAGCATTGTCCTGCTGGTGGGAACGTGCATGCTTCATGCTGGGTGGGAAGCCGCGAACTACATGTTCCGACCTCTGCCACTCCTGTATCGCCTGGGATCTGCCGGGCACCTGGTTAACTCTCTCCTCACATGTAGCCTGGCTTGTGCCCTCGCGAGCGCAGCCGACTCGATCGGGGTCGAGCTGGAAAATCTTGTGGTGGGGGACTGCGACGCGGCGAACTTCAAGGAGCGGGTACACCACCCGATGGTCAACTTCCTCGACAGGAACAACAAGTACCTTGCGAAGCTCGGCTTGCCCTTAGTTCTGATCAGCTTCTCATTGGTCGATATGATCCAGCTGCCTGCGGCACACCCCGCCACCGTTCCAGCGCAGCAGCGCAGCAAGCAGGAGGTCGAGTTTAAGACCCGCTCCAGTCCAGTGCCTTGTTTGAAGTGTCACCTAGGTCTTCAGTACCCCTTCTTTGTCCGCAGTTTCGTTAGCTTCCTCGTCCTCCTGCTGCTTCTCCTCCTTCTCCTCCTCCTCATCCCCCCTCCATCCTTTCTTGGGAAGATTCCAGGAAGCTTCCTGGAAGCTGGGTGGGTTTTCGGGCCGTCCTGGAGCTCTTTTCTCAGACCGTCTTGGGGAGTTCTTGAAGGCCGTTTGCGGCCAGTTTGAAAGCGTCTTGGTGCTCCCTAGAGGTTTTCGGGTGAGAGTGATCGGCGTTGTATTTTTATCCTTTGCACGACCTGGCCTGGCCACTCGGTCTCCACAGCGGCTCTGTGAGGCGCAGTATGGTCGAGAGGAATGTAGTGATCTGCTGGATAAGTATTAACATGCTATCTTACGTGATGTCTGGAGTTTGAGCGGGAAGCGTGGTAAACAAGCCCGAGCAAAACAGTTTTTTTTTGTTTTTTTTTTGTTCTCTCTCTCTCTCTATCTTTCTTATACATATATATATATATATAAATTGGTAGGGGGTCCCGGGCCCCCCAAAATGCACCGATTTATCTTCCGGCAGTTTCGGGCCCGGCGGGGGGCGCCAACAAAAGTCAAAGGGGGCCGAGAGACGTCCAAGAGGGCGCCAAGATGGCCCAAGAGCGCTCCAAGAGAGCTGAATGCCACACAAGAGCGCTTCAAAATTGGTCCAACATGGCTTGAAGACAGCCCATGTGGGCTTCAAGACTGCCAAGATGCCTTCAGAAGGACTCCAACGAGGCACTCGGAGGCGAAATGAGAGGCACCCAAAGAGGGCGCCACGACGAAGCAAGAGAGTCCCAAGACGGCCCAAGAGTGCCCCAAGACGGCCCAAGAGGCGCCCAAGATCGCCCATGCCCGGGTGCCCGGGCGTGCCTGGGGATGCCCGGGGGTGCCCGGGGGTGCCCTAAAGCCCTATAGCCCTAAGCCCTATAGCCCTATAGCCCAATAGCCCTATAGATAGCCCTACAACTCTGTAGCCCTATAGCTATATAGCCCTATAGCTCAATAGCCCCATAGCCCTATAGCCCCCTAGCCCTATAGCCCTGATTGTTTTTTCTCCGGTGTCGTATATATATTTATATATATACATATGCGTATATGTGTATTTACACACATATATATAGAGGAACAAGTAAGCAAGTACATCAATACGTACATAATAATAATTATCCCGGCAAAGCAACCCAACAGCGATGTGTAGGAGCATATTTGGGAGCATTCCCCTTAAGATTCAAATGAGAATCCAGTTGTAGAATTCTGCTGTTCTCGCAGTCGTAGTCGCATTCGCGATGACAGTCGCAGTGGCAACGGCAGTGCAGACAGCCTCGCCAGTCAGCAAAGAGTGCTCACAGTCAGCCTCAGCCTCAGGCTCAGCCTCAGCCTCAGCCTGCCTCAGCATCACAGGCCTCAGCCTCAGCCTCAGCCTCAGTCTGCCGTCGGCCTCAGCCTCAGCCTCAGCCTGCCTCAGCCTCAGCCTCAGCCTGCCTCAGCCTCAGCCCTCAGCCTCAGCCTCAGCCTGCCTCAGCCTCAGCCTCAGCCTCAGCCTGCTTCAGCCTCAGCCTCAGTCTGCCTTCAGCCTCGGCCTCAGCCTCAGCCTGCCTCAGCCTCAGCCTGCATCAGCCTCAGCCTCAGCCTCAGCCTGCCTCAGCATCAGCCTGCCTCAGCCTCAGCCTCAGCCTGCCTCAGCCTCAGCCTCAGCCTGCTTCAGCCTCAGCCTCAGTCTGCCTTCAGCCTCGGCCTCAGCCTCAGCCTCAGCCTCAGCCTCAGCCTGCCTCAGCCTCAGCCTCAGCCTCAGCCTCAGCCTGCCTCAGCCTCAGCCTCAGCCTCAGCCTCAGCCTCAGCCTCAGCCTGCCTCCTCAGCCTGCCTCAGCCTCAGCCTCAGCCTCAGTCTGCCTTCAGCCTCGGCCTCAGCCTCAGCCTGCCTCAGCCTCAGCCTGCAGCCTCAGCCTCAGCCTCAGCCTGCCTCAGCATCAGCCTGCCTCAGCCTCAGCCTCAGCCTGCCTCAGCCTCAGCCTCAGCCTGCTTCAGCCTCAGCCTCAGTCTGCCTTCAGCCTCGGCCTCAGCCTCAGCCTGCCTCAGCCTCAGCCTGCATCAGCCTCAGCCTCAGCCTCAGCCTGCCTCAGCATCAGCCTGCCTCAGCCTCAGCCTCAGCCTCAGCCTGCCTCAGCCTCAGCCTCAGCCTGCTTCAGCCTCAGCCTCAGTCTGCCTTCAGCCTCGGCCTCAGCCTCAGCCTGCCTCAGCCTCAGCCTGCAGCCTCAGCCTCAGCCTCAGCCTGCCTCAGCCTGCCTCAGCCTCAGCCTCAGCCTCAGCCTCAGCCTGCCTCAGCCTCAGCCTGCCTCAGCCTCAGCCTCAGCCTGCTTCAGCCTCAGCCTCAGTCTGCCTTCAGCCTCGGCCTCAGCCTCAGCCTGCCTCAGCCTCAGCCTGCATCAGCCTCAGCCTCAGCCTCAGCCTGCCTCAGCATCAGCCTGCCTCAGCCTCAGCCTCAGCCTGCCTCAGCCTCAGCCTCAGCCTGCTTCAGCCTCAGCCTCAGTCTGCCTTCAGCCTCGGCCTCAGCCTCAGCCTGCCTCAGCCTCAGCCTGCATCAGCCTCAGCCTCAGCCTCAGCCTGCCTCAGCATCAGCCTGCCTCAGCCTCAGCCTCAGCCTGCCTCAGCCTCAGCCTCAGCCTGCTTCAGCCTCAGCCTCAGTCTGCCTTCAGCCTCGGCCTCAGCCTCAGCCTGCCTCAGCCTCAGCCAGCCTCAGCCTCAGCATCAGCCTGCCTCAGCATTCAAAATGTGGCCCGGGAATGGAGTTCTGGGAACTCGAAGAACACGAAGTTGCCTACAGTTGGCTCCGGGCATTCAAAATCATGCCCAGGAATGGAGTTCTGGGAACTCGAAGACCACGAAGTGGCCTACAGTTGGCTCCGGGCATTCAAATGTGGCCCGGGAATGGAGTTCTGGGAACTCGAAGAGCACGAAGTGGCCTACAGTTGGCTCCGGGCATTCAAAATGTGGCCCGGGAATGGAGTTCTGGGAATTCGAAGAGCACGAAGTGGCCTACAGTTGGCTCCGGGCATTCAGAATGTGGCCCGGGAATGGAGTTCTGGGACCTCGAAGACCACGAAGTGTGTAACTGTTTGCTTAAAACGACTTCCGCGGATTCTCCCCGGCACCCGTCCGGCATCTGCCCAGACCCCCCTGGGGAGTCAAGATGCTCTCTTTTGAGCCTACTAGAAACCTATCAGTCTTCGCTGTTAGGTAAATGCAGAAAGAGCATGGTGGCGCTGCAGGGCTGAATCGAAGAAGCGGGGAGCGCAATACTGACGAAAGATCTGCACTCGAGGCCGCCTGCAACCGAAAAGTACCAGAAGCAACGCACATGCATTGTCCATCGGTTGTTCACTATTTGTAGCATCTTTGGGAGTCGCTGGCGGCCACGTTTGGCGTCCCTTGGGAGCTTCTTGGGACATCGTGGGGACATCTCTTGGAACCTCTGGGTGACGTCCGTCTTGGAGCCGCCTAGATGCCGAAATGGGCGCAGTGTAACAACACTCAGAGTGGCTTTCTGGGTAAGCGTACCCCGAGAACGTGTGCGTGTGTGTGTGTGTGTGTGTGTGTGTGTGTGTGTGTGTGTGTGTGTGTGTGTGTGTGTGTGTGTGTGTGTGTGTGTGTGTGGGGGATGGCCGTGGAAAGCTGCACTCCTGCCAGACAGCTGACGCCAGTCTGACTCTCCACATCCAGGGGGGACGCTAGCGCGCAAATCTCTCGACCAGTAAGTGCTTGGGCGTTTGGTCTGGACACGCATGTGGCCGATCACATGGACCCGTCTCACAGCCAACTCGGGGTCGTCTTCGGGCCTTCTCGGGGCCCTTTTGCGGGCTCTCTTGGGGCTTTCTTGGGGTCTCTCTCGGTGCCTCTTGGGTTCAGATTGGGTCCCTTAGTGGGTCTGGGAGCAGTCTGATGTAAGAGTGTAGCCTTCTTGAGGTTGCTTTGGAGATCAGCCGGGGGCTTTTGGAACCATCTTGACATCCTCTTCTGCCTTGTTTCGTTTGTTCCAACCATCCTGTGGTGTGCGGTCCTCGTTTTGAACTGACGGTCCCCGCGCTCCTCCCTCCTTCCTCTCTCCTCCCTCCTCCCCCTCCCCCCTCCTCCCTCCTCCCTGCGTTTCACCCACCCAGTACAGCGTTTCGTGGCCCCATCGGGAGCTCCACCGAAGCCCCCAGGGACCGCCCGCGCCCCAGGGGGACCGCCAGCACGCGTCCCCCAAACCCATTTCGGCACACCCCTCACGCGTCTCGTGGCCCCATAGGGAGCTCCACGGAAGCCCCCAGTGCCACCGCCCGCACGCGTCCCCCATCCTAATTTGGCACATCATTCACACGTTTCGTGGCCCCATAGGGAGCTCCACCGAAGGCCCCAGTGCCACCGCCCGCATGCGTCACCCCACACCCATTTTGGCACACCATCACACGCATCATGGCCCCACAGGGATCTCCACCGACGGCCCCAGTGCTACCGCCCGCATGCGTCCCCCACACTCAATTTGGCACACCCTCACACCCTTCGTGGCCCCATAGGGAGCTCCACCGAAGGCCCCAGGGGGACCGCCCGCATGCGTCACCGATACGCATATCCCCACCCTCCCCACACGTTTCGTGGCCCCATAGGGAGCTCGACCGAAGGCCCCAGTGCCACCGCCCGCATGCGTCACCCACGCCCATTCTGGCACACCCCTCACGGTTTTCGTGTCCCCATAGGGAGCTCCACCGAAGGCGCCAGTGCCACAGCCTTCATGCGTCCCCACACCCACTTGTCCACACCTCTCACACCTTTCGTGGCCCCATAGGGAGCTCCACCGAAGGCCCCGGTGCCACCGCCCGCATGCGTCACCTAAGCACATTTCGGCACACCCCTCACGGTTTTCGTGGCTCCATAGGGAGCTCCACCGACGGCCCCAGTGGTTGCGTTCGCATGCGCCCACCGCACCCATTTGAGCACACCCATGACACGTTTTGCGGTCCCATAGGGAGCTCCACCGAAGGTCCCACTGGCTGCGTTCGCATGCGCCCACCGCGCCCATTTCGGTACACCCCTCACGCGTTTCGTGGCCCCACAGGGAGCTCCACCGACGGCCCCAGTGCCACCGCCCGCATGCGTCCCACAACCCTAATTTGGCACACCACTCACACGTTTCGTGGCCCCACAGGGAGCTCCACCGAAGGCCCCAAGGGGGACCGCCCGCATGCGCCCACCGCACCCATTTCGGCACACCCCTCACACGTTTCGTGGCCCCATAGGGAGCTCCACCGACGGCCCCAGTGGCTGCTTTCGCATGCGCCCACTGGATAAATTGTGGCACGCCCCTCAGACGTTTCGTGGCCCTATAGGGAGCTCCTCCGAATGCGGTGCATACAACGACGGAATTCACAACTGCATACGGTTGGTCCTTCGCCAGGCTAATTATTGGGGGCCTCTGGGACCGCTTCGGAGGTCCCTGGAGCTGATCTTGAAGCCCCGTGAAGCTGAAAAGTCAGGGATCCCAACGATAATGCAAACACCCATCGAACTCTGCTGGGTCTTGCCTCTCTGGCGCACTCCGCGCTGAGCTACCTTGGAGGTTCTTGTGGCTTCTTGGGGCCATCCCAGGGCCAATTTTGGCAGTCCTGGTCCTTCTTGGGGCTGTCTTGGGCCATCTTGGGCCATCTTGAGGCCGTTGGAGTCACCGGCAGGACTCCCGGGCACAGAACGCGGTCCGGACATGGCACAGAGGGGGGCTGCCGATCCACGCCAGTTGCGAAAACGGGGGCCGTCCCAGGAAAGCATCGACGAGTGTCCAGAGCACCGCCTGGCATTCGGACACGCCCGACGCGCCGCAGGCGTTCTGGCGGATCATACATGCCGAGTTGCTGTTTTCCCGCAGCACCTCCCAGGCAGCCATTCAGCTGATGATGCCTGACCTGGTTGCTTTTGTAAGCGTTCTGGTCAAGGCGGCTGGCGCAGCAGTCGCGTGTGCCGCCGCTCCGCGGCGCACCTCAGCAGCTCTCGAGACGGCAGAGAGCAAACTTGCGCACATTCGCAGCCGCAGTCCAGAACTGCACGTTCAGGTCGCAGCCGTCGAGGCTGTCATGGCGCAGGCGAACACGGGACGAGGCTTCGGCGTGTCCGTCGGCGGCTCCCTGGTCCTGAGCAAAGGGCTTATACAGAAAACTATTCTGAGCCTGGCGGGCGCGGCTGCGGTGCTCGGGTCCTTCGGAGACTGGGTGCTTGGAGTCGAGGACAAGGAGTTCCAGGCCTTGATCAACAAGATAGACTTCCTGGACGACCGTGTGCGCGTCCTGGACGACCATTTGCACGGCCTGGACCGCCAGGATCAACATCTGAGCAAGATGATGGGATTTGTGCAAGGGCTCGTGCAGGATATGCACCGCGGCCAGTAGCACATCGCGCGTTCTCTGAATGTGATTCCACCTTGCGCACGAAAGAAGCACAGCTACTGCTGAACTTAGGGTAGGGCGGCGGCTGAGCGGACTCGTCTGGTATGAAACGGCGATGCGTTTTGTCCGACACATTTGAGGTGTTTTGGCCCTTTGCCGCTGGCCCCCATTGGCTGAGCCATCGTTGTCGCTATCTTGGGAGCAGTTTGGGGGCCATCATGAGGCCTCCGAGGAGCGTCTCGGAGGTTCCCGGGGCCCTCTTGGGGCTATCCTGGGGCCATCTTGGGGCCATCCTGGCCAGCTTGGCGCTCTCTTGCCCCGTCTTGGATCCTTCTGGGCCGTCTTGGGGGTCTTTGGGATCTCTCTTGGGCCGTCTTGGGGACCTCTTGGGGTCCTCTTGGGCCGTCTTGGGGCTGTCTTGGAAGCTCATTCGGCCATCATAGGGGCCGTCTAGGGGGTCTCTTGGGCCGACTTGGGGACATCATTGAGGCGTCTTGGGCCGTCTTGGGCTTCCGTGAGCCCGAACATGCAAGGCACGAAAACTTGTCGAGAACTTATGGGAATCATCGATTTTTGGCGTCTGGAGGCTTCTTCAGGGCCCTCTCGGGGCACGGTCGGTCGGTCGGTCGGAATAAGCAGACGGGTTCCACGGGGCGGAGGGGTGCGAGGGGGAGCAGGGGGGCGGGAGGGCACGGTCGGTCAAGAGGGGGGCACGGTCGGTCGGTCGGTCGGTCGGCATAAGCAAACGGGGGCCACGGGGCGGAGTGGCGCGGGGGGGGGCAAGGGGACGGGGCACGGTCGGTCGGTCGGTCGGAAGAGGCAGGCGGAGGCCACGGGGCGGAGGGATGCGGGGCGGAGCAGGGGGACGGGAGGGCGCGGTCTAGCAAGGGGGGGCACGGTCGGTCGGTCGGAATGAGCAAACGAGGGCCACGGGGCGGAGGAGTGCGGGGGGATAGGCAGAGCACACGAGGTCGGCATCCCAGCGCACATCTTGGCCCAAATAACCCAGTACACCCACGCCACACCCCAGCACGTATCCAGCACACGAAGGCAGCACACATGCTAGCACGTATCCCAGCACACGGAGGCAGCACACAACCCTGCACACATCCCAGCACACGAAGGCAGCACACGTCCCAGCACACGTCCCAGCACACATCCCAGCACACATCCCAGTCCAGCGCACATCCCAGGCACGGTCGGTCAGTCGGTCGAAATAGTTCAATGCGAGTTCATACCGGTAGGTATGATAATAATCCCTCCCAGATCCTTAGGAATCCTTCAGGAATCCTTCAGATCCCTCAGGGTTCCTTCATGAGTCCTCAGGGGTACTTCAGGAATCTTCAGGTATCCCTCAAGAGTCATTCAGCAATCCCTCAGGAAACTTCGGAGGAACCTTCAAGAATCTTCGAACATCCCGAGGATTTCCCAGGAATCCCTCAGGAACCTGTAGAAGAACTCACGAATACTCTACGAAGCCGAGGAGGGGCTCTGAAGTAGACGCTTATGAAACGCGTATCAGGCTCCGATGTAGCGCTTTCCAAACGCTTCAAGCGCTTGGAGGCTCACGTAAGAGCGGTTGGGATCTGGACCGTTCTGGTTTCATTACCGGCTGGGATCTGGACCGTCTAGTTGGGATCTGCACCGTCCAGTTGTCTAAAACTTTCTCTGGAACGGGGCCAGGGCCAGGGCGGGCGTCTGGGAGGCGAAAGCCGAAGGGGTGGAGGGGTCACAATCCCCTTGGGGAATCCCCCCAGCCCCCCGGGACCACCCCCCGAGACCCCCCCCGCACGCCCCCTGTGGAGCCCCCCCTCAGCGGGGAAGGGGCACAGGGAAGAGGCTTCCCATCGACGTAATTACAATATTGTTCGATCTCCCTTGTTTGTCCGATCTTCCTTACGATGACGACGATTCAAAGGAGGCTGGCGTACTTCAATTTGGGTTGGGCTTGCCTCGCGTCGCAGGGCCTGTCACCTACGCCGACTGGGTCGGCGGATTCGGCCGTCCTGGACTATTGGGGCTCTCTTCAAAGCCTCGTGGGGCTGGCCTCCAGGCCTCCTGGGCCTTCCTGACCGCGCGGTGGCGTCCCTACGGGAATTTCGGGGCAGCCTGGAGCGACCAGGATTTTAGTTGTACGTTTCCGCGGGTGTTTCTGCCTCTGGGGAGACAGTACAAAGCAGACAGGACTGGAGGGACAAGTGATTCGATCAAAAGAGAGCACATCTGACAAGGCAGCAGCCCAGCAGCAACCCACACAGCCTGACGCCCCCAGCCGGCGGATACATATCGTAGCGCAGAGTTGAGCCGCCGTTGGCGCATGTAGCAGTCTCCCGAAGTCGACTGTCAAGCAGGCTAGCTCCTCATGGCTATCCAGATCCTCCTTCCTGTTCCTGCTAATCCTCCCTCCTCCTCCTCCTCCTCCTTCTCCTCCTCCTCCTCCTCCTCCTCATCCCTTCTCCTGCTCCTCTTCAGCACGCTGTGCTTTGCGAATCGTTCCAAGACCTTCCCCTGCTCAAGCTGATCATGCTTAAGCTTATCCTTCCTCTGTGCCCTCGTCTGTGCCCTCTTCCTCCCTCTCTTCCTCGTCTGTGTCGAGAGTCTGAGCTTAAACGAGTAGGAGGAGGAAGGGCAGTAGGATGCTCCTTGTCCTCCCCTCTTCTCGTCACCCCCTGCCCCTTCACGGTTCATTCCAATTCGATCGATCCGATCAGATGTCGATTCCGCAAGGGTTCGATCCGATTCGATTCCGATGTTCCAGCGATCCGAAGCGGCCCGATATTTGCATGGCGGCGTTGTTCTTCTTGGCGCGGTCTATCCGACTAGATTCCGATTCCTTGTCGATGCGGCCCGATCCGACGCAAGTTCTTGTTTGATCTGTGGTTTCCTTTAGACGGGCTCATTGTCCTGAGTCGTCTTCTGACGGGCCTTGGGGACTGGGGAAGAACGCTGGAGGCCCAAAGCGACGACGAAACTCATGACCCCTTTCCTTCAGGACCCCTCTTCTCCATGGCGATCCGAGCCAGAACGCTCAGAATCGGTCCTGGGAGCCCTCCTTGAGTCCATCCTGGCCAGTTTTTTCGCTGCGTCTAGACGTTGAGGCGGAAATCTCCAAAACCGCCCAAAGACTCGGAACGAAGACGCCAAAACTAAGAATACGTCGACCACTTTCCCTCAGGAATTTCGACGTTCGGACCTCTGTTAGGTGTTAGGGTTCGTTCTGGCCAGAGTTTCGAGACGTATTCAGCATCCTGCGGGCTCGAGACGAGGCCCTGCAGCGCATTCAAGAGTCTCGAGCCCAGGTCCTTTCCAGCTGTTCGACAGTGGGCCGGAGACGGCTGGAGATCGCCGAAGGCCACGGGGAACCCCACCGACGACCACACAGGACCGCCGAAGACCGCCCGGGGCCGAGGTGGTAGCCATGGGGGTCCCTGGCCGAAGGCCGCGCAAGGCCGAGAGGCAGGGCTCGAGGACCACCCACGGGCCCCTGGGCGCGCGGCCGACGAGCCGCGTCCTCGTCCTCGTCCTCGTCCTCCTCGTCGTCATCGTCGACGTCGTCGTCATCGTCGACGTCGACGTCGTCGTCGTCATCGTCGACGTCGACGTCGTCGTCGTCGTCGGGCGGCGGCCCAGGCGGCCCCAGCAGGGTCAGAGACGAGCACGAAGCCTCCATGTCTCGGTCCTCTACATTCGAGACCGATGATGAGGACGGGTAGCCTTCCCAAGGTTACCTCTGCATCTGTGCTGCTTCGGTCCATCCTTGACCCGTTTCGATGGCCAGCCCTGCTCGGAGAGCTTCGGCACGGGCGTCAACGGGGCTTTCCATGCTCATCGCGCATCAGTACCTTCAGTTTTGATTGCAGGATCAGAAACGTGCACCAAGCTTCCATCCCCGGTCTTCACTCCCCGGCCCCAGAGCTCCCCTGATCTCTGGGCGTTGCTACTTGTCCAGCCGCGCGTTTTCGCCCGGCCTGGGCACCCATGGGGGCCCTCACAGACCGATCCGGCTGGAGAAGATACCTCAGAGAGATGGGGTCGGGGGCACCGGCCGTGATCCTGCACAATGACCTGTTTCGCGATGTCGGATCTCAGGGTCCCAATGTTTGCCTGTGGTAGTTCGTGTTTTCGTCTGGATGTGCTGCGGACGGCCCCGGGGGCCCGCAAGCCGGCCCCCGGAGACAGAGTAAACGAACAACGCCAGGGTTGAAATAGTCAGTCCTTCGGATGTTTGTGCCCTCGGCGATCACGCCCCCAGCAGTAGGCGCGGGGTTCACGAGCCGACCGCGCGAGTCGCAGCCTGGGCAGGGAAGAAGGAGGGATAAGGGGGGTTACTTAGACAGCTCCCCCCCCCCGTCTCTCTCTCGTTCTCCGGCACCTGTGGGTTGCTGGAGGAGGAGGGCAGTGGGCTTGAGGAGGGGTGGTAATTGAGTGGTCTCTCGTCTTGCATCCGCCTTCCCTGGAACGAGCTGTTGGTGGCGACTGTCGTGATGCCGCTGGGAGCTCCTGCTGTCCTGT